AGAGATGTAATTTTTCCTCCTTTAATAACGGAATTAACCAATGTCTACAATGCCACTGAACCCATGGAGACGGATCTTCATCAGATAATTAGATCTAATCAGAGCTTGTCCGAATAAAATTGTCAGGTATAATTTTTATTCTTGAGTAATTTGAATGTTGAAAGCCAGAACTGACATTTTCTTTAAAACTTGTCTACTTTCAGTATTTCCTGTATTAGATCCTTCGAGGGTTGAAATACATATATTCGGATAACATAATCCATAGAGATTTTAAGCCCAGCAACCTGGTGCTGAATGCTTATTGTGATCTTACAATTTGTGATTTTGGTCTTGCACGGCCTACTTTGTATAATGAGTTCATGACAGAATTTTTTTTTAACCAGATAGTACCGGGAACCCAAGCTGTTGCTTAATTCCTCGGAAATATACTGCAGCAATAGATGTGTGGTCCGTAGGTTGCATCTTCATGGAACTTATGAACAGAAAACCTTTGTTCGAGGGAAAGGATCACGTGCATCAAATGTGCTTGGTGACAGAGGTGAATTTTTTAATGTTTTTACCAATTTATAACTGAAATAAGCTGATTATCGAATCTTTACATAATTAAGCAGTGGTTTTTAGTTTTCACATAAAAAATTTCTCATGTTGATTACATGTTTTGTAGGTTCTGGCACTCCCACTGAATCTGATTTCGAATTCATCCTAGATGAGGATGCAAAAATATATATCCGGCAACTTCCACGATATCCCTGTCAACTGTTAGCAAAGTTTTTCCCACATGTAAATCCATTAGCCATCGACCTAATTGTATGCCATGAGTGAACTAATCATGATTATGGAATATGACACTAGTACGGTAGTTAGTACCATGGATCATTGAATCTATTTATCAACTCCATTACTATAGGCAACAAAAAGACACCTAAGATAATATAAATTCAGTCAGCGCCTTTGACTAAACCATGTAATTTTCCTTACTATATCACTGAATCAATTTAGCCCCAGTTCGTCTAGCATTAAAGTATGGAAGCGAGTTTTGGAATAGTTAATTTTTGGAGAATGCATGGTTAAAAAGTAGGAAAAAGTTTTGAGTTTATGTGCAAAATATTTATTGTGAGAATGTGAGGTTGAAAATGAGTTTAAGAAAACAAGGATTTTGAAACAATGGTAGACAAACAGGGGCCTAATACTGCACAACAATCTGGAGCAAATAGGCAAACGAGTCTAGTCTGCTGAGATATGAACACATCAATAAACAAAAAAAGAAATCATTCTTTAACGGGGAGTTAATTTTTTTACCATTCAAGGATACACTGGAGATGAAACTCATGCTTGCAACTTGTCATCTGCAAACGGAAAAACGCATATTAAGTCGACAACAGGTCAATCAAAATCCACTATTATTAGACTAATAATCAGGAATTCATAATACATACTGTAGAGGGATCACTTTCACAAAAAGCTTCAAGGCATATGCTGCAAGCATCATCACATGCTTCTTGAATTCCCCCTTCCACAAAGGCCGCAGCCGATGTCAAATGATCCTCAGATAATACCTTCCCCTCTTCCATTTCTTAAAAATTTCGAAATTTATAAACCAGAACTCGAAATTCCGTAAAGAAATTGTATATAAATCAAAGAAATGTTGAAATCGCTGACTTTAACAAAATAAAGACCAAATTATGGACTAGATGCCTGAAAGTAAAATAAGGAAAAAAAAACATACAAAGAAATAGACTATTTCATAATTCAGTCGTCGGAGGCAAAACAAGTTCAGGTCTGTACAGTTCAACAACTAGGGCATGTATCATTAAAATATATATAAAATCACCTTTTCAATATTCCAAACTCCAAAGTACCAAACTTTAACATCAAAATGGAGAACTGGAAAATCTCAAAAACCAATCTTTATCCCAAATTCAAAGACGCGTACTCATAAAAAAAGGGAACTTTGCATTCATAAAACTAATGACATTCGGGGCGCAAAAAGGCCCAAAACCCAGTAACTGAAACACATCAGATTTACATAATCAAACAAAAATACATATTACCTTAAAGGCAAGATAATTCTTTTTAAGCAAAGTGAGCTAACCTAACAGTAGATCAAAGATAAGAGCAATGGAGTAACGATCAGTATATACACAGATTGTGAAAACAATGGAGAAGATGTTAAATTATTCTGTAGAAAATGAAAGAAATATTGAGGGTGTGTTTGTCTGGGGAGAAAAATAAAGTAATGAATAGTATTTTTTGAAGAATTGGTTGAAATTTAAAGTAACTTTTTTGAAATAACGGTCGACAAAACAGAGCTAAGAATGGAGGAGAAGAAGGCTTATAGACTCCTTTTTGTTGGTTTTTGGAGAACTATTTCGTTGACCTTTTCTGGCGGTGATGACAGAGCCCCACTCAACACACACGGCAAAGAACTAAAGTAAAAGGATCACTGTTGTTTTGTCTTCCACTAGCTACAGTCGTAACGCGTGGCATCAGAGCAGTTCAATCATGCGAAATCATATTCTTAATTTGTGAACGAGGCAATTCACAGGGCCTGCAGTGCCGGGTGAGAGACACTGGCGGACCCCACATGTTTGAAAAATAAGAATAAAAAATTCACCTCATGCCAATGCTGTGTCTTCCCTGTAAACACATCACCCATCCCTCCTATAAAAAAATCCCAGTACTTGTAGCACAACTCTTTGTGAACACGGACCTTGCTATAGTAACATAAATGATGATCTAAGGGATGACATAATTTGATAAAAAAACATAAATGTCTTTCTTCTATTCTTTAGTTAAGTCAATGTTCTCTATTTCTGTTATGAGATAGTTTTGGTTTATTTCTCCTAATAAATAGAAAAGTCAATTAT